TTTTTATTTATTTCAGTTAATTAAAATGTTTTTTCCATTTCAGTTTTTGTTATTTCATTAGTTTTAGTTAACTGTAACAACCCTAGACCCAACACACCCTGATCTGTGTTTCCTGTACTTTGCAGAGGTGCTGAAGGAGGTGGATGAAGTGTTTGAAAAGTACAAAGGGGAACAGGACATGGCTCAAAGAAAGCGCCTGCAGATCCAGCTGCAGAGAGCCCTCATCATCAGCCAGGAGCTCGGCGATGAGAAGATCCACGTGGTGACCCAGATGACCGAGCTGGTGGAGAACCGTTCCCGCCAAATGGACTCCCACTCCCTCTGCCTCCAGGAGCCCAGCGAAGCGGAGCGTGTCCCTGTGGAGCAGGATTCCCCACTTCCCGAGCGCACCTCCACCCGCCGCCCGCGACGACAGCGCAACAGTGAGAGTCGTGACTCCACCCACCCGTCTGCCAACGGCTCGCTGGTGGACGACTCTGTGGATGAACTGTCCCTCCCCCCGCCACGAGAAAAGAAGTCCAAATCGTCAAAGAAGAAAAAGCGCAAGGCCAAACAGGAACGAGACACCTCACCCGTTGACTTTGCCATCGACCCCAACGAGCCCACCTACTGTTTGTGTGAGCAGGTGTCGTACGGCGAGATGATTGGCTGCGACAARGACCAGTGTCCCATCGAGTGGTTCCACTTCTCCTGCGTGGGACTCACCTACAAACCCAAGGGCAAGTGGTACTGTCCCAAATGCAGAGGGGACAATGAAAAGACAATGGACAAGAARCTGGACAAGAACAAAAAAGACCGCAGGTCCAGGTAGTAACTCACCTGGAAGCTGCACTTTGCTTGAGGATCAGACCGTCGGCTGTGGGGATTTAAAAGCACAACMGAAAAATATTTTAATCAGCAGCACTTAGAAATAATCCAAGATGAATTTTTGATGGGATTTGTCCAAATATTTTCCRGTGGCTGCTGCCGGTGGCCTGAAGTGTTTGCTGTTTGAGAGATTTTAGATCCAACAAAACAACAAAAGCTCTTTTTTTATTTGACCAAACCTCACTGACATATTTCAGTTTATGCTTTGGACAAATGTTCTCTTCCTTTGTTTGAACTTCCTTAGTTTGAATGAATCTGTGTCTTAATGTCTTTATGCAGTGAATGCTTATAGAAAGTAGCCTTTATACAGAACATGTTTAGAAAAGACTGGGATTCATGACATGATTCAGGTTCTACTGTCAGTGTGTATTGTTTTTCTTTTTTAAATATAAATTCATTAAAACAATCAATGATCACTCAGTTCTCATTTGGTGTGAAAATGTTAAACTTATGTTAAACAACCTTATCCATGATGGAGTCTAAAGTCAGCCGACTTTAGCAACCACTAAAGTTCTGATGTTACCGGTACTGAGCTGAGACTMTGTGTGGTAGTAGCTGAGCCTGATCTATAACACACATTCTGAGCACTAACTGACTGAGGAAAATATTTGTTTACATTTTTGCCATCAATTATTTGCAATGGACTCTGCATTTATCAAAAAACGTGTTCAGATGGATTTTACTGAAGCTTTCAGGAAATAATCTGTTGATCTACAAATAATGAACACAGTTCAAGATGGCCGCCACAGCTAGTTGATCCTAGAAAACACAAAAGTGGATATTTCTTGTAATATTTTACTGATATTGAGTTAAAAAATGGGCTGTAGCTGATATTCTCAACACATCCTCCAAGTGCTACTCATTCAAAATCATGAAGTTTAGCTTCATCTTTGAGTCAATCCTGTGTCTGTTTGTAAAATATTTTATGAACCAYTGTGTTTAGAGTAAAACAATGTGGAGACAAATGTTTTACAAAGTAACAAGTCTGAATCAAACATGTTGGATTCTGCTGTGTTGATACAAATCACAGAGAAGTGAAATACCAGAAACTGAATTTAGTATTAGAAGTTAGTAATTTATCATTGGAGTATTCGTTTCGCCAGATCTGATTAGTCAAACCCACATTTTATCAAATGCGTCATCTTGGTAACAAATACTGAAACGTTGAGTGCAGTTCATGCAAGAAATAAATGTTAAGTCAAAATGAATAAATTAGACTTGAGCATGAGGACAGTAGGATTATTTTATTTTTGCTTCCTGTTTCATGTATTTAAATTTAGGTCATTCTTTCTTGAGCACATACTGTTGCAATCAGAACTTCTGACTTTACTTTCAACAACAGACTTGTCCCTTTTCCATTGGTGGAGTAGGTCTAACAGCTGTCCTGTGGACAGARTGTCCCYCTTGAGCTGATGGGTCTCTGCAGCTCCCCCACACTTCTCATTCGTCTTGTCAGATTAATAATCTGTCAGYTGTACAGTAGTGTCAAACTCTTTGTTTTCAAATGAAGGATTAAAGCGAGCTCCTCTAGATGTTCAAAGCTTTAAACATCTCAACATCTTCATCCCTCACCTGTCCGTTGTGGTCCTTGGTCTTCATGATGCTATTTGCCACTGTAGTTCTGAGGCAGGACTTTGAAACCATAAAACACTAAACTCTTAAGTGACTATTTCAGACGCACTTGAATATTTAGCCAGAAAAAAACCTTTTAATGAAAGCACACTTTCATTAAGAGGTTTAAAATGTCTGTGACATCAAATGTTTGCAATAAATATGAATGCATTTTTGGAAAGACAACAGTGATAACATTGCGAAAATAATTTTACACTGCTGTGATGAACAGTTGACATATTTGTTTTGGAAATAACAGAAGCGATGTCTGCATGTAAACAGAGCATTGCTACAAGGCTAACACCACAATGTAATGAAMAATCTGATGTTTCTTTAGAATTTTTGAGTCACTATCAAAGAGATGAGCTCAAATAATGTTACAATAAAATAAAACGGGGAGTTAATTTTTTTTAAAGAATTCCCCTTTTGATGTCACTTCCTGTTTCACTTTGGCCGAGCCAAATTCTGAAAATCTACCAGTTATGTGACAAAATGAGTAAAACTGTGTTTTCCAAGTTTATTAAATATAAAGATGTTTTCTTTGACTTACTGTATTTGAGTGAGATGTGTGTCGCAGTCACTTTAAGTTCATTAATTAAACAAAACCCAACTCCAGAAACAGTAAATAACCAGGTAAATTAAACTGAATAGACAGCAGACAGAATTGATATAATTTTTTATATATAACATTTTTAATTTACACTTTAAAGAATAAATGTAACATCTAAATAAGAACATGAAAAAACTTTTTTGTGGCGTTACAAAAGTTATGGGTTTGTTTTTTTAAAGTAACAACAGCAGATCACACGGCACTTTTATTTAGAGCCAGGACCAAATATTGAGAGCGGCTCTGGTGCCCAACTCCACACTGAAAACATGGCAGTGACAGCAGTATGTCGCTCCACCCTGATGGAGGACAGAGCTGTGGATGTGGGCAGAACTTGTTGATCTGGTTGCAGTACACAACAACAGCAGCAGCAGCAGAAGTTGGGTCTGTTTGTGTTTGATATTGCTCAGTCTGCTCCGGTGTTTTCTAAGGTGAGTTCAGGGTTCACTTCACTGCAGTGTTTTGGTACAAAGTAGGCCAACAACCTCTGGCCTAGTCATCATCCTTCCCTCCTGTTTTACTCAGCTGAAGTCAAAACACAGAAGGATACAGGAATATAAGCATTGAGTTCAAACATTATGAAACAATYCAAATAATAACTGTGTTGTACTTACATGCTGTCAGTAGATTATGTAGCAATTACCAAGGAGAAAAACAAAACAAAGTCAATAAAAACAGCCACAGTGGCAGGATCTAGTGCACCATGTTGTGAATTTACCTTGATCACATCAACCCAGTTCCAACCTCTGGGCAACTCCCCCTTATTGTCTAAAAACAGAAAGCACAAACAACACACAGTCTGTCTTTAATGGCATAAAAATGACAAAAAAAGTGAAGGAGGAAGTCAGCATGAGATATGGGGATACATGATATATCAGCATTGTTGGTTGTTTTTTAGAATATTGTATTGGTCTGATAAGTAAAACTGGGCCATTATTAACACAGATACTGATTTCCCACGTTTTAGCTTTGTATTTCTGTTTTATGAGGGGAAATGGTTGGTTGAGTGGTATCTGTTTGATCATGATAGTGATGATAGTGGCGCTGCACAGCCAGGAATAACTGCAGTAGAGAGCCATGTCAGCGGTCTGGCCAATTATTTACAGGATCAAAAAAGGTTTGTGCSTATATGTACATAAATAATTTGTGTCTTTGGGTAAGACCTGTAAAAATTGGWTATTGGCTATAACAGCAAAAATAATATCGGATATRTATATCTGCTGAAATTTTCATAGCGTTGCATCCCTAATTGTGTATAATGTTATTTACAAGGTTTGACCAAAAACAACCTTCTCTTATCAGAAGAAGACAATGTTTGTACAAAGACTTGACTTGGCACTTTATAAACAAACTGAACTGAATGTAATATGGCACAAATAATACTAAAWGTTTGTTGTTAATGAAGAAAACCAATATTATTGTCCGTTTGTTCGTCCGTCCGTCCGTCAGTCCGTCCGTTTTCTTCCGCTTATCCGGGGTCGGGTCGCGGGGACAGCAGCCTAAGCAAAGAGACCCAGACTTCCCTCTCCCCAGCCACTTGAGCCAGCTCGTCTGGGGGAATCCCAAGGTGTTCCCAGGCCAGCTGAGAAACAGTCCCTCCAGTGTGAGGGACTATATGTGCCAAGGTCACTGAGGTGATTAAAAAGCTCCTCGGTGGCAGGGCGCCGGGGTGAATGAGATTCGCCCAGAGTTCCTTAAGGCTCTGGATGTTGTGGGGCTGCGWTGGTTGACACAACTCCACAATATCGCGTGGACATTGGGGCAGTTCCCCTGGATTGGCAGACCGGGGTGGTGGTCCCCCTATTTAAAAAAGGGGACTGCAGAGTGTGTTCCAACTATAGGGGGAATCACACTTCTGAGCCTCCCTGGTAAGATCTATTCAGGGGTCCTGGTGAGGAGGGTCCGTCGGATAGTCGAATCTCGAATTCAGGAAGAGCATTGTGGTTTTCATCCTGGTTGTGGAACACTGGACCAGCTCTTCACCCTCAGCAGGGTCTTGGAGGGTGCATGGGAGTTTGCCCAACCAGTCTACATGTGTTTTGTGGACCTGGAGAAGGTGTTCGACCGTGTTCCTCGGGGACTCCGGTGGGGGGTACTCCGGGAATATGGGGTACCAGTCCTGATGATATGGGCTATTAGGTCCCTGTAAGACCGGTGCCAGAGGCTGCAATGATACTGCAATGCATTTTGGTCCATTTCCACATCTTCTGTGTATGTTTACTGAACTACACGACCAGTTTCAGGGCCAGTGTTTCCCCTACCATTATGCAGCCCCCCCCACCGCCGCCAACGAGACTGCCCGCCCCTCTAAGAATTTCACGGCATGTCCACCTGCAGCTCGACTCTGACCAGCCCGGGAGTTCATACATGTCAACCCCTTCAGACGTTTACGTGTTTAATGAGCATCAAAAATTTGTAATTTGCGCAAAAAAAAAAAATCAGTATTAATCACACAGATGTGATGGAGGTTCGCTGACTGCAGCTGCACGGGGTGGTGGAGGAGGAGGAGGGTCTTTTAAAGACTGTGTCTACGTT